AAACTACTGGACGTAGTCAGGGGCTGTTGGGGTTGGTTCTGCAACGTCCTGTAAAGGATACGCAACTAACTAACATCTCTGGTGCGCTAAACAATAAACAGACTACACTTCTTCTACTTGTGAACATCACGTGATCCGGAATATTTCAGACAAGAGCTTGCATGCGTAATGAACATTTATGAGATACCTCTGTGATTCGTTTCATGTATCGTAGGCCTTGTGTGTATCCTTAATTAGCTTATCCTCTCCTCTCCCCTCCTCCTCCTTCTCAGCATCATCATCATCATAATCGCCGTTATCATCATCAATGTTGTTGTTATTAGCCTTTTCCTTGGCATTCATCTTTATCAACACCATCACGGAAGTAAAGTGCTCAAGAGCGTGAACTATCGCACTTATACATATCTTCCAGAAAGAAGAAGACTGGCGCGGTACAGTTCACAATGAACTCTTCAATCGACCGATCAGTTTGTCCCCTCCGCGTGCTACTTACAGGTTTACCATCGTATCCTAAGATTGAACAGTCTTAGTCTATACGGTAGACCAGCAGGGCGGACTCCAGATACCCTGTTCAACCTCCAAAGAAATTATAATAAAGGCCCCGTTAACTATTTCACCAGTCAGGTATAAGCTGGAGTCCAATGCAGGTAATGATTTGGCTCGTCAGGGTAAAATATAGATAAATAAAGATTATTGTATAAAGTAGTGAAACAGTAATTACATATATTGCTCATGCCCAGCTAAATATAAATTATATATTTTTTAAAGTTTTCCCCCTCCAGGATTGCAGTCTTTACGATAAACATCTCAACGCTGAGAATCAAAGGGTACACATCGGGGAAACCCCGTTTAACCATATAGCCAGACAACAGTTATATTGGTAGTAGTAGATTTTTACCTCACCAGAACATAACACAAGCGATAAACACCAGATGACACAAAGAGCCACCATGAGGATCACCCGTGGAGAGGTCCTAGAAACTGCATTCAGCCATTAGACCATATTTATTTTCGGTCTATATATTGCAGCCCCTAGCAAGAGCAGAGCTTCAAATAACGAAAAATTGCATCTCAGAAGGAAATGACTGGATATTAACAGTTATATTGGGGCACCACAGAACGGCTTAAGAGGTATGTCACATTTTGAACAAAGAGGCTAAATTAGACGTTTTGAGCCGTTCCTCTTCGGGTATATAACAAGTTTATCATTTTTTTTTAAATATGTTAAATACGTGCAATGGTAACAGTGGTCTTGAAATCCCTCGCTCTAGCTGTAGAAAACTTTTTCTTAACTGCAGTGGATCTAGCTAGTCACACTCGCCATCGCCAAGGGCTTTGATTGTCATGCCTTCATACAACACAATTTAAAACTAGTGTCTGGAAAGACGGAAAAGTGACAACACGTTGTATATTTCCTGTCAACATAATATGTGGTTGATGATCGATTCAAAACTAGACTGTATAGTAGTGGTGTAAGATCAAGTCCTTTATCGGCGCATTGATACATTGACTGACTGACTTTCTACCCCACTAGAACATCACACAAGCGATAAAAACCCGATGACACAAAGTGCTACCATATGGATGAGGATCGCCATGGAGAGGTCCGAGAAACCGCGTTCAGACAATTGGCCATATTTATGGTCTGCCTATATTGCGACCCCTGGCAAAAGCCAGGGTGGGGCTTCAAATAACAAAAAATGTCGTCCTTAACTCCTTGTCCCAAGGAACGCATCATACGTTTATAGGTTCCTACCTAGAAGCCCAATGAACGCATGATGCGCCGATTTTATTACTTTCTTTGCTACTCCCTGGGCCTGGGATGCTAAACCCCCTGGGACTTAAAGAGTTAAAAGGACGAAACTGGATTTTTATTGAAACATTTGAGTAAGTAAACAAGAAAACAAGTAAATACTAAAACTCCTTTACACAATCCATAGCACATTAGACAAATGGTGATAGGTCTATTTTTATACAACTGCGTCACTCCATGGGTGATGTCGCGTCAACATCCCAGCAATCATCTTTACTTCCCAAAACATTTTCCCTATATCCATTTACGCTGTGTCTACTTTGGAGTAAAAATATGTCAGTTTCCGAGACAAGATACTGTTGATTAGCTAGTCTTCCTCGATGTTCAGATCTTTTAGAATGTCAGTACTTCTCCTCTTTTTTATCCATCATATTCAGAATGTTGTTTCTTTCATCTCATCTCAGAAGCAACTATTATATTCCATTTTCATCTTTTATAATCTACTTTCACCTTTATGATAACAGCACTACATATTATATATTGTGTTTACATACCAAATATAAGCGGATCTGTGTGCGTGCATCAACATATATTTAACATATACAGTTTAAAATAAAAAAGAACGTTCATTAATTATAAAACAAATCACACAGTTTGTATAAATAATACAGCTGCGTTAACATTAAATTGCATTCTAAAGCAAGCGTAAATAACATAATCATTCAACACCACAATTCTTTGAGTAATAGATAATTCATGCATAAACTGATGATGGATGCATGCGCTTAAAAAACATCAACGTGTAAATGACTAAACTACTGATGAATGATAATGAAATGAAATTCGTCTTCTTATATACTAGTTCATTTGGATAAAGGGTTCACATCTCAGCAATCAGGACGAGTCCTATTACCTCCGTCTTCATTCTCAATAGCCAACAAAGAGCTTCCACACTAATAGTAAGTACCCTTTGGTACCCATTGTCATCTAGTTAACTCTAGAAGGGAAAAAAAGTATCAGTGCTAATGGCAGACCAACAGGGTAAGCCCAGGTACCCCCCTCCCCCGTTTAACATCTATGGCAGTTATAATTAAGGCACCTGTAACGGGTACACAAGCCAACTGTAACGGGCAGCCCTGTGCGGGTAAGGGTGACTTTAAATCTTTTAATCTGCTGTCGACCAGGTAATAAGATCTAGCAGCCTCTCAAATACTACAGCCTTCAGTAGAGGGGAAGAGGAGATATTGGGCACATAGGGCTGGACGTATATTATACAGATCAATCAGACACTAAATGGGTGATGTGGTCAGCACTACGACAGTCGCCTTAACTTCCCATGACTGTCTCTTCTTCTTCTGCCTTTCTATCCCCCAATGGAGCATAGGCCCTCAACCAACTTACGCCAAGTCGTTCTATCCTTCGCCAATGCATGGAGCTCTCACCATGTCCTCCCAATCTTTCTAACCTCATTCTCCAGCTATCTTCTCCATGTGTTTTTTGGCCTTCCTTTATTCCTATGCCCCTGTGGGTTCCAATGCAAAGACATTCTAGTAATGCTGTTCTCCTGGTTTCTCAGTGTGTGCCCTATCCAACGCCAGCGTCTTTTCCTCACTTCCTGATACACTGGAACCTGTTTAGTTCTCTCCCAAAGTTCTACATTAGTTATTCTATCATACCATTATATTCCCTCTATTCTGCGCAGGCACCAGTTAATGAATGTCTGTAATTTGTTAGTAATTGCATTGGTTGTTCCCAGGACTGTGCCTGGCACCTATGTAACGCTGGGTCGAGCTGAAAGCCAAAGTCGTTTAAAAAACAAAAGTCAGCCTCCGTCCGGACCCGAACCCACGACCCTTCAGATCTGCAGGCGAGCGTCTAGCCTCTACACCACGGCGGCTCATCGATAGGAGAAGAGGCAGACCAAGAAAGACCTGGATACAGAACTTGACTGACTGAACGGACCGTATGCAGGCAACCATGAAATACCTTGCATTAGACCGTCAAAGGTGGAGCGAGCTGATCAGTCAACAGCAACTGGTGACCCAACGACACACAAGTGTTACAGGATGATGATAATAGATCTGCAGTCCGTATGATTCTTTTTTTTTAAACCACATCGTTGCATCTGGCATACTCGCTAAACTATGGACTGTCCATGATTCACTTCCACGCAAAATATAATGATTGTTTACGAATGAGGGGGAAAAACATTAATACTGTGTTGCGAGAAAACAGTTTTTTGAGCGTTTGAAAATCTTCCCGATAATATATCAGGTAAAATACTTAACTAATGAATAAAATATATTAGGAAGTTTCAATTGCACATATGTTTTATATATATATATATATATATATATGTGTGGGTGTGTGTGTGTGTGTGTGCTATTCAAACTATATATATGCTATTTAAACTTTATATATATGTGTGTGTGTATGTCATAATACGAACACAATAATAACACTATCAACAAAATGGTGTATTATCTTGGTCACTATCAAACTAACATAATTTTACCCACGATGATTCACACTGAAAGAATGGTGTGCCTTCATCTATCATGTTCCATGTTTTCTGTTGCATTTTTTTTTGATTGCATGCTACCTACGAGTCCAATCAAATAACCAGATTAAACATTAGTTCACATCTCTATCGAAAAATAACAGCAGCTTAGGGAAGTATGAGGAGAGGAAATTATAACCGAAAAAGAAGAAGATCAAAAGACATTGCGGAAATTGTAATAAAAGAAAGTAATCGATAAGTAGTATTGTGGATAATAAACTTAAAAAAAAAAGTGTAAATATAAGATTTAAAAAAATGTAATTGACAAATTGGTTGATAAATAGGAACAGTTGAAAATAATAAAGATGGCAATTGATAGATTAACAGGAGTTGTGGGAAATATAAAAGATAAAATAGATAGATAATTAAGAGCTGTGGATAAACTGGTTTTGTAAAAAATATAATGGAACGAAATATATTTCGTAAACCACATAATCCATATATATATATATATATATATATATATATATATATATATATATATATATATATATATATATATATATATATATATATATATATACACACACACATATTTATGTGTGAATGTGCAATTTTATCTTGAGCTTGCTTGTAAACACCTCACACTTTATTGAAGCTACCATATCTTTTGATTATTTCCTTACACAAAAATTACTGTTTGTGTTACTTTATATTACTAAATAATATCATCAGGGATAAACTTATCTATTTCTTTTCCTGCTCATTCACTTCCACCACTTCCGCTGTCCCCTTTTCCGGTTCCGCTTCAGCGACCTCTTGAGGCTTCTCCACGTCGACTTTCGTGTCTTCAATCTCAGTGACGTCGTTTTTCAGTTCCTCGAGTGGCGTCTTCTCTGGTTCCGCTTCCGGTTGCTTCCTTGGTCTTTTGGTCCTCAGGAGACATTTCTTGAAACCGCCAAAAGTGGCGCCGGCGGCAAAGATGTACTCATAGAGAAGTCCAGCGAGTAGTCCACCAACCACTGGACCCACCCAGAATACCTGTCAGAGAGTAAATTGAAATATATTTTACATTCGTTAATTTAACTTGTTAAGTGTTCTTGCTCCACAACAAAGATAGGCGCCGGGACGTAGAGATTCGGGAACCGTTAGCGCCCTCTCCCTCCCCCCTCCCCCCCCCCCCCCCCACAGCAGGATATCCAACAATAATTATAGGAAAAGAAAAGGCCGGTGGAGTGCCTAGGTCTCCACTTTCAAGGGTGACTAATTCGGTCCTTTAACTGTGCATAGACTTTTTCGTTTTGAGTATTTCTTTATACGTGTCATATTATTTCAAATATATTATTGTCCCGGTATTATGTATGCGATAAATCCTTGCACTGCCGACTATTACAGATAGGCCCAACTTACTGCAACCTTAGTCGTATCTCAGATTAGTCGCAGATAGGAACACTTCCTGCATGAAGTCATAGACAAAGCTAAGGGTCACAGACTGAAAAGAGGAAAGTCTTTCATCGAGCAAGCTGAAAACATCATTAGACAAATCGCTTCTCGGCCTTTTGGCCAAGATCAAAGTGTAGTTCTGTTGTACTTGGTCTGGCCAGAAGCGCCGGGATGGGTCTCAAACTCATGAGAGTGAGAGTAACTTTCACATCATGAGCCATCACAAACTAAGGGCGAATAAAAATGTGTGTAGGCTTGAAAACACTAGGTGAGGAGAGGAGGGGGTTAGAACGTCCCGAAAAAATCCAGACTTGTGTAGGGTTCGTTCTGATCACACTGAGTCGTGAGTGCAGGGACTGGCCAGCGAACGCTGCGGAATCAGAAGTTCATCAAATGATTCATGACAAATCCTGCCCTGGTGATATGATAATCTATACAGATGGCTCTGTGTTGAGAGGCAGACGAAGTGCATGCGGGTTCTTAGCAAAAGCAAATAGATGACCCTTAGTGCAGCAAAGCCTGGCACGTGACACCACCAAATTTAGATTAAGAATGGACGTGGGGCAAAAATACAATTTCTAACCTGCACAATCTGGCACTGAAAAGTGTTATTTACGAAGCGAACAGAAGGGCCAATTCCAGAGATCTCTTCCTGCGTAGACACCGCTAGGCATTCCAGGAGCAGAGAAAGAAGAAGAAGAAGCAGAAGAAGTCTCCACTTTCCTTCCCCTTCGCTCACCCCAAATTTCGTTTAAAAAAAAAAAAACCCGCCAAAATATGGTTTAAATTAGCAGCGTTCACTGTAATCAGTGCTGTAGCATTCGGCAGGTGGGATTTTTACTGTCGCAAATAAATTCAAAGTGTCTTCAAATATCTAATTCTCATATAAACACTCCGGCATGTGGCGGCGATAACGGGGAATAAAAGCTTCTGACGCCGATAACAAATAATGATAACCCGTCCGCGGGAAAGAATATTGGACAACTCCAACCGTCTTTGTTGTAATCAAAGTTTTGTCGGTTGCTTCCCTAGGATATAGAAAACTACAGTTATTGGGTGATTGTCGGTAAACGAGCTCGGATTTAACAGACTTCGAATTTTTCGTAGACATAGTAATGCAAATTATAAATTCTTCGTGGACTTCGTAGTTGCATGCCTAAGGCCTGTCCAGTCAATTCAGTTTTGTATTCAGATCTTTTTTGGTCAGGCTCTTCTTCTCGGGAGTTCGCCTGGCGTAGCGGCCAGACGCTCGGATCGGAGGGTCACGGGTTCGCTCACTGGCGGAGGCGGACGTTTTTTTAAAATATAAATGATATTGACTCCCTTGAGTGGGTACTAGGTGCAGTCCCTGCAAGGAACCAGAAGTCTGCATGTATATAAGATAAACCTGTAAAACTGATGTGCACGCAAAATTATTTTCTAGTAATTTCTTACAGTCAGTAAACACAAAGAAGGTGCAGAGATGTCAAAACACACGAAATCAACCAATCTCCACCCCCCCCCCCCACCTCTGCTTCCATCCACACATGCACACATCTTTTCTCACAACAAATGCCAAATAATCTACACCCAATTAACTGCAATGCTAATTAGTACACTTTCTATCACAGACGCATGATTTAAGCGAAACAAAAAAGAGCTATGAGTATACTAATTACCCTCAAATTACCCAAACAATAAAAGACACATAATCTTATATAAAGAAAGGAGATCAAAGAAAGAAACTGACTTTCGGAACGTTATCTAATTCTTTCTCTTGGGGAACATCCGGTCTGGGGAAATCGGATTATCTCTGTGACCTTGACCTGATTTCCTCCTTTGGAAGAAAGGGCCAAGAGAAGAGTGCCCAGGACAATCTGAGTGAGACAGTTTAATACCTAGATAAAAGACACAACCGCGCGACTTTATCTTTTATCTGGGATAAAGGGAGAAAGAGAATTAAATGGGCGCTAGGAAGAAATAGGCAGTGATGTTTATGTTGAAAAAGAGCAATATTGTTGTCTTTCTTTTGTCTGCCTGGTTATTCCGTTGGGGTCAAGGGGTTATAGAGGAAAGGTTGGGGTCTACAAAGAGCGCGCGATTTTTACAGTTCTCTCTTTCTGTCTCTCTACCCTTTCTGTCTCCATCTTTCTCTCTGACTTTCGATGTTTTCTTTGTCTCTCCCTATCTCTTCCTCTATCTCCCTATTTCTATGTCTCTCTTCGTCTGTCTGTTTCTCACTGAATCTCTCTCCGTTTCTCTCCCCACTCTCTGTCTCCCTCTTTCTGTCTATCTCTGTTTTCTCTCTCTGTCTCTTCCTCTGCCTCTTCCTCTTTCCGTGTCTCCCTCCGTCTGTTTATCTCTGTATCTCTCTCCGTCTCTCTGTTTGCCTCTTTGTTTCTCTCTTTCTCCCTCTTTGTTTCTCTCTGTCTGTGTCTCTCTTTACTCTCTTTCTCTCCCCACTTGTCTATACAACCAGTTCTTTTTCTTCTTCTTCTTTATCTTCTTCTACTTCTTCTTCTTCTTCTTCTTCTTCTTCTTCTTCTTCTTCTTCTTCTTCTTCTTCTTCTTCTTCTTCTTCTTCTTCTTCTTCTTCTTCTTCTTCTTCTTCTTCTTCTTATTCTTCTTCTTTATCTTCTTCTTCTTCTTCTTCTTCTTCTTCTTCTTCTTCTTCTTCTTCTTCTTCTTCTTCTTCTTCTTCTTCTTCTTCTTCTTCTTCTTTCGTTCGCTTGAAATAAATCATCTTTATCTGCAATGGTGTCTCTAGTATGAACTTCACTGTTTTTTGTAATTCACTCAACGACCCGTAAAGTTTGACCTGCACCGATGTTTCTCTTGGCCAAAGTTTTGCCTTGATATGTTGTATTTGGGACAGTCTTGGAGGACATGATCTGTTGTCTCAGGTTCCAGTCCACGTGTGTACGTGGCTGATTCGTCGATTAAAAATTGTGTGTACATGTGGCTGCGAAGTCGGATGTGTCGTGTTCTAAGGCGTAGAATAATAACTTGCTCTGGTCTGCCCATAAAATGGTAATCGTCTTGTGCCGGTTTCGATGGCTTTTTGATTGATTAGATTATTCTCTTATTTTGCTAATAAGAGACTGGTACGTCCGGTTGTTCTTCATTCGCACCTTCCTTATCTAGATTATCAGCTCTTTCATTTCCAGGAACTCAACAGTAGGATGGTATCCATTGCATAGTTACCTTACACCTGCTGCCTAGAATGGAAAGTAATGTTCGTATACCAAGTAGTTTTCCAGATTGGAGTTCCTAAAGCACCGCTCTGGCATCTGTCAGAAATACCACGGGTTATGAAATATGACGTGTATTGAACAGTTTCTCTGCTGCAATTTTGACGGCTCGGACTTCTGCATCATAGTTGTGACAGTGTTCCTGCTTACAATGGTGTTCTTCAACCTGTTAACACCGGCGGCCCACCAAAACCAGGGAATTAGTTTCGCGGCCCAACTGACAGAACACAGACACAAAACTGGCGCTTACGACGCCACAGTCGCTTTTTCAGAAATCAGATAGACGCTCTATGAGTTATTGTCCTAGCTCCCGGCCCAGACTGGATCTCAGATTATGTAAATGTTATGATATTACCGCATTATTCGTTTGAACGGGATTTCTGGGATTTAAGGTTTTAAACTCTACAGAATGCAATAGTGAAAGAGTAAAACTACCTGCCCTACCCTTTTATATGACTGGGCAGACATTTTTGGGGGCTCCACCTTAGATTCTGTGCCCCCCCCCCCACATGGACCCCGCCCACAGGTTGAAAAACACTGGCTTACACTACGGTCTATCGGCTGGGTCATTGAGATGAGGATCTTTTTCCAGTTACGCCGGACTCCCGGAAAGATCCACCTTTATATGCCAGAAAATATTCTTGGAAACAGGCGGGAAATATGATACTGTTTAAAGTCTATATAAGTTAGTTGCGTATGCTTTACAGGACGTTGAAGAACCAACCCCAACAGCCCCTGGCTGTTAGGGGCTGTTGTGTGGTTTTTCTAGGCAATTTACGTCCAATAGTTTGCCATTGCTCCTGGACGGTCGGCTTTCTTAATACCACTGTCGAAACTAACACATAGCGCATGACCCGCAGCTGGGATCGAAACCGGCATCCCGGCATTACGAAGCGCTCGCATATACTTAGCCACAGAGCCGACTTATAGTCTATAACAGAACTGATAAAGTGCCAATTGGAGACATATAAATTGAACGAAACGACTTTAATACATGGATAGAAGCATGTGCGTATATGGAACGAAGCTATGCAAGGACAAACAAACCTGCGTGTCACCATATAACAAGTTGAAAACTATGAAGGGACCCAAAAAACTACGTGGTACCAAATAATTGGAATTGAAACCTATGGAGGGACACACAAACCTATGTAAAGCCATGCCATTGGAATTGAAACCTACAAAGAGATACAAAAATCTACATCTTGCCACATAATTGGAATTGAAACCTACAAAGGGATACAAAAACCTACATCTTGCCAAATAATTGGAATTGAAACCTACAAACGAATCTAAAAACCTACATCTTGCCAAATAATTGGAAATGAAACCTGCAAATGGATCTAAAAACCTACATCTTGCCAAATA